GAGATGTAATAAGCTTGAGGTGGGTTGTCATCTGGTCTGAAAGAAGAAAAGGATGCTGTTCAGAGAAAGAGAGGTCAGTGACAAAGGTGAGCGAGAAATTTTAGTCAGTACAATTGTGGAGACACCACCACTAGCATTCCTGGTGTCGTGCTGCCTTTCATAAGTCTAGATTCAGGCACCTGAAGGAAAAAATAGCTTATGCTATTTGTGTCTCCATCTTGGCAAATTGGCATTCTAAAGCCCTGGGAATATTAGTATGCAGTAAATTGTATACAGAATAAAAATAACACTGAGAACAGTCAGGAAGCTGTAGAGCTGTAACCAGATACTATTTTGAAAAGAAGCTCCCTGGGTTGCATGGAAGAAGCAGGATTAATGTTCTCTCTGCTGCCCTTTAATGTTTTTTCAAAATATGTTTCATGCAGTTATGCAGAAAGCCTTGCACCTGCTTTCCAGAAACTTTAGTTAATAGGTTGTATGTTCTCTTCAAACCACTGGTTCAAACTCAAATATTCTTATAACACCGACACACTTACAAAACCTTTGGGGTTCAAATTTCTATAAATATAAGTCCCTGATAACCATAACTAGTTTCAAGATGTAAATACCAATTAAATACATATTTATATTCATTTAACTTGTTGTAAATGCAACAAGTTAAACAATTAATTGGTCAGGCATCAATGGGCACAGCAGTGTTGGGCTCCAGCTGGTGGCTCTGTAAAGTCGGGGGGGGGGGGGGGTGTTAGGCCCAGGCTGGTGCCTGCCCTGCTATGGAGGAAGGTCTGTACCTACCCACCCACCCTTAGCAGCAAGGGAAGCTGGGTCAAAGCAGCCCCACCAGGCAGAGGCAGACAGCATAGCCCAGGAAGCCCTTGGGGGGCGGGGAGGGCAGCAGCCAATGAGAGACTTGCAGCCACCAGTGCAGAGCTTTCTGTGGCCAGCTGCAGCAGTGCAGGAGGAGAGTTGGGGGGAAGAGGCAGTCAGCAGTCAGCAAGAGGCTTTACCAGCCTGTTGCAGCTGCGGCTCCACTGCAAGGGAGGAAGCAGGCAACCCCTCCTCTCCCCTGTCCTCCTCGCTCTGCATAGCCTAGGTATTAGGCAGTATATTAGTCAACCCTCCCCTTCCCCTCCCCCTCCTTCCCTCTGTGTAGCCTAGCTATTAGGTATTAGACACCTCTCCCCCACTCCATCCTGCCCTGCCGCCTTCCAGTTCTTGCCACAGGGTTTGTCTTCCCCCGCTTCCCTCCCACACTGTGCCTGGCCCCAGTGATAACTGGTAACTAATCGTTTAACCAGTCACATCCCTAAATTAGTTCCATAAGAGAAAACTAGAATGCGGCTCTTGCATTTCAAGGAGGTCCACACTATACCCTCCATCTTGATGTGAAAAGGTTTATACGCAATTCCCCAGGCACCAAGATGTAAATATCCCTTTAAGTTTTATCCAGGTTTAATATGAGTAAAATGCTTTTGTCATTTAAGCAACTGTCCTGAAATTGCTCAGTAGAAAACCAGGAGAGTACCATTCAGTGCACAAAAATTAAAATCCCTTTTCCCATAAGTCTAGAACTATTGCACGTTTGACTGGTGTTAATGGGGGCTATTTTTTTTAACTATCTCCAGAAACAATCCTCTGCAACAAGTTAGATATTGAATAGTGCTGTTTTAGTTTAAAGCCCACTTCTGTTTCCAGCAAAGTGTTCTAAATACAGGAATTCAAAGAACAGAATTACAGTGTACTGTTGAAGTCCAATCAAAAGATTAATTTTTTGCTTCAAAACAGTCAGTTGCACCACCAGGCAAATGAAAAAAAGTTTCCATATTAAAAGTCTTGAGAAGATAACAAATACAACAGTACTGCCATGCTTCCTTCTAACATATGGAAGAAGGAATATTCTTACATTAACAGGCAAAGTAAATTAACATATAAAGAAAACGTAAAGCATAAATTGGATCCACCTATTATTAAGTCTCTATTTAATAAGCAGACACTCCCAGCTCTATTTTTGCTTCTTCTGTAACTTGTGCCATTTCACCACAGGTATGTCCAAAGATTCTAATTTTAATAAAACAAGTAACCTCAGGCTTCAGACTCCCTCTTCTTCTTTCCTTCTTCTCCCAAGTCACTGTCTTCTGACTGGCTACTACTAAGGACTACAAATTGTCCCTCTCCACTGCTTTGAGTGGGTCTGCTGGAAGCAGCTATCAATCGACTTTGTTCTTCCAAGTCCTAATTTGAGAAGAGAAGAGGGAAAGAAGAAATAAAAATAACATTCATCTCAAAATTTTCCACAATGAAAACAGGATACTGGTACTGTACAAATCTAAGATGTGTTTAATGCCAAGCAAGGGCAATTTGATTAGTGAACTACTTCTAGAGCAGACTCTGAAGGACTTTTTAGAAACTGAAATAGAAAAATCTTTTTGATGGTTGTCACTACGTGAAACACAGCTGGCAAAAGCATCTATTTTATTCTGGTAAGCCAAGGGCATCAGATGCATCCTCCTTCGTGGACTGGATCTGGATACAGTGATGGTGGTGGGTCAAATGGCAGTGGTGTAGGGGTTAATACAGCTGCTGCTTACCCCCTGGTTGCCAGTATGCATCCCCAAAGGGGCTCCATGCCCTGGATTTTGATAGTTGCCCCACCGCTGAATCCCTGGCCCTCCTATAAGACCCTCTGGCCAGATGACAGGGTTCTGTAGGCCATATTTCATGCCCCTAAATGAAGCCATGCATTTATATCCCAGGCAAACTTCAACTTAGAACCAATTAGCTGCATTGCAGCAAAATAACTAAACATTTTGACAATAACGATATTTGATGCAGAAGATTATGTAACAGATCAGGGATGACCAAGGTATTGCCTACAAGCTGGATCCAGTCACGGAGCCATGTCAGCCACCCTGTGGGGCTCCCCAGGGGCCAGAAATTTGGTGATGTAGCAAGGGATGGCAACGTTAATTGTAGCAGGTCCTGGCACCACAGCAATTAATGCTGTTGGTGCTTATCCTGCTGCCAAATTTCCAGGCCTGTGAATAGTCCCATGGGCTGGACCTGGAAAGCAGAGCCATGTCATCTGGCTCTCAGGACTACCATTGCTCTGGGTACTGCAGCAATTCACAGTGCCACAGCCAAACTTCACCCTTATGGGACAGATGATACAGCTCTGGCCTTCAGATCCAGCCCTGCAGGGCCAAACGAGTTGGACACCAACATAAGAGGTCATCTAAACCTGAAAATCTACTTTGCTATATTTTAAATGTAAGTCTAGTAAAATAATGCATTAGTAATTTGTGCAGGAGAGATTGGATGAAGTATTTTTTTCAAAACAGCTTAACTCTTAAAACGTTCTCTTGCTCAGATGTGTTTAATTACACCTCCTGTTACAACCTTAGGTTGTACAAATCAGGATCTACACTAACATTACAGCTTTGGAATTTCCACATAGCATCTGGCCATGAAGGCCCTCTGCTGAAGTAACAAGGAAAGTTCAATGCCCAGGGGACCGCATACATTTGCCAAAACAGATATGAGGATTGAGGCTTTTGCCACTTTATTATTTACACAAAATTGCTGCTTATCGACTAAGAACCCCAAAACAAACCAATCTTTTTCCACTATTTCTAACGAATGTTGTATTTTAGCTTTGGGTTCAGAGCTATGAAAAGCAGCCTAAATATTCATGAATAAGAAAAATATTAGTAAAATAGTAAGTAAAAGGCCTACTTTTTCAATTTGCTTCTGCTTGCTGAGTTCCTTCTGTTGCTTCTCTTTTACTCTTTCTATTTCTTTTTGCTTTTCTGATGCTCTACGATCCTATAGTGCAAAGATATATATAAGACTACACCTCGTTAAATAGAATGTAAAAAACTACAGGAAATTCTTTAAGACAGTAATATCAATGTTTGATTCCTGAAGTATTTGTTGCCAAAAGGAGCAACACAATATAGCTGCAAAACCATCTGCCAGTAAATCTTGGTACGAAACCTACTCTGCTGTGGACAGGACCAAGTAATAATATAGAGTTAAAAGAGGACTCATCAGATTACCCTTGAATGAAGTAGGCTTAAATTACTGGCTTAGTTTCCACTTAACAACAATGAATAGATACGGACACAAAACTGTTACCACAGTTAGCTTGGTATAATGTATCCATCTGCCCATCCCCTTAAATCCTGGTTATCACTTTCTGAACAGAAAGGTTGGATATCTGGTATATCTAAACCAATAATGGTAGATGCTATGGAGGCTAATGGATAGGGGGTAGATAACTCTAGATCTAGCTGGTGCAATAATACTGTTCTGCTAGCACCCACTGCAGCCACTGTTGGAGACAGGATACTAGGCTAGATGGACCATTGGTCTGACCCAGTATTTCCTTATGTTCTTCTTGGTAAATTTAAATCATACCAACGTATATGTAATAGATTCTTTATGCTTTCTTAATATAGACTGTTGCCAGATGCACCATGCTATAACTATCTAGATACAATACATTAATTAAACACACCCTAACAAAGTTGTGTATTTTTTTTTTTTTTTTTTTTACTTAAAACTCTTACCAATTCTGCATGCAAAGCTATCTGTTTTGCCAATCCAACAGAATCGCAGATCTAAACAAAAAACATTAAATATCCAGTAAGTATGAAAAAAATGCCTTTAAAATTAAGACAAATTCCTAATGCTTCATAAAGGGTCAGTGTATTAAAGTACTTTCAGATCCTGGGACTCATGGGGTGTATAGATATACAGAACAATTTTATCAGTATCAAATTCTGTCTTTCATTCAGCACTAAAGTTACAGTGATTTAGGTCACTTGTCTTGCTATTAGGGTATAAGTTAACAGCAGAGGCAAATTCTGAAGCAGCAACTCTCTTCCACCTTTAAGTCATTAAAAATTACATTTGTCCACAGCCAAACCAATTTTTTACAAACAAAACTCCTTCAGCTTGAATGGGAGCTAGAATCTTGTAATCCACATCTGTTTTAACAAGGTAAAAGTATGGAAACACTAGTTAATTTGCCTCTGCTTAATTTGCGATTGTTCCAACTCCTTGCCAATGCTCCTCACCCCTAATTATTGATAATTGGTTAATACTGGCCATTATTTCTATTCCCCTTAAAATGGCAAATGAAGCAGTTTACATATAAATAGCCTGGGAAGAATACCTTTTCCCCTTCATTATTTGACTCAAAAATATAGCAGACTGAAGTTGGACGGCTCTCAGCTCTCCCTCCTGAAGTCCGAAGCACAAATCCAAAAAGGCGCTTGTTCTCCTGATGTGTAGCATACAAAGCTATATTGGGCAAAGGAAACTGCCAAAGAAAGGATCAAATAATGGGATTTAGGTATGCACTACATTTTAATGTATTGTAGATGACTATAAGAACAAAACAAATGAACACACTGGGTGAAAGACAACTAACTTCACTGGGTGAAGATTTTTTCATTGCACCTTGAATCAAATTTTTGGGTGATGTGTTTGCATGGGAGCACACTGAAAGAAAGGTTATCCAAGAAAAATTCAGTGACTTGACAGTATTCATTCTTTCCAAAATACATCATTCTGTAGTAAGACAGCATTTGCATACAGCAAGCATTACAATTATAAGTCTGAAGTTCCTGATTTTAAGCACATTCAAACAACCCCTTGCCACTTCTTAAAGATGTCCATCTCTCCCATACCAATTAGTTCTGGGACTAAGTTTATAATTTACAGTCAAAACCCAAAGGAAATTTGTTTTTGAAATCTTTTGACCTAAGTTAGTTTGGCTCTTTGGATTTATGCAAGCAAAAGGGGGACCAACTACTTTCTCTCTTTTTTTCCCTAATTGTAAAGTATTCAATTGTAGTGCGTGCAGTCTCACAACCAAGAGAGGTCGAGGCTATACATTTCCAGGTTGGATTACTTACAAAACGTCACAAAAGATGGAAAACTACTGTACCTAGATTTGAAATAGTTTAATTTTTTAAATTTATATCACTTGATATGGGTTTTCTGCATGAATCCTAAAGTAATTTAGATCAATGGGCTTGTGATAACTTGTTAAAACTTTTCAATTTCCAGTCTTGAGACAGCTTTCCACTAAGGACTGAGAATCACCTCAGTGCTCCTAACTAGCTTTACTTCTATGAAGTTTTACACACTTAATAAACAAAAGTACACCTTAAAACACTTACAGACACATTTAAATCCTTTAGATATCCAAAACAATCCAAAGAGATTAAATGGAAGTGCAATAATTGTTTGCAATGCTAAAATAGAGAGATGTCAGATTTTTTTTTTAACAGACTGACTGATCTTTCATTGTGGTGTTTGCATTTAAAATAACGAAAAGGCACAGCTTAAAATGCTTGTTTAATCAAATGAAAATCATCCCCTAAAGAGTGTGTTCCACCTAGATATCTGAAGTCCAAATTCTGTAAAAATGATAATACAAGCTATGGGGGAAATTGTTTAAAAATCTCATTATAGTATTATCACTTTGATCAAGTGTTATTAAATATGGAATTAACACTATGTACAAACAAAAAGAAAGGTAGACAGAAAATGGAAGAATAAATGTAAAATACAAATTTTCTTTCTTAAGCTTTTACGTAACTTACCCTAAGTCTTGTAACTTGTGTCTGTGGATCAATTAACCTAAAAAATATTAAAAAAAAAAAAAAAAAAAAAATCGGAGAGTAAATTTTAGCAAACGGAAAGGACCACTGCAAATATCTGTGGAAGCCAACTTCAGTAAAATGCATGAAGAACACTTACTTCAGACAGTCACACGTGACCAATAAATGTGATTCTGTCATCCTGAAAATGTTGTGGATAGCTCGGGCTGCTAGTATCTGACGCATTGTTTCATAAACAACATCAGGAGTTTCATCATATTTTACCTCCATGGAGCCAAGGAATCGTACAATAAATAACTGATGAAGAATGGAATCTAGGACAGAGAAGAGATTTTAATAAGCAGTACAAACTCCTTCTAGGTATGCCTTTAAAAAGGCAGATCTCCAAATTAATAACATGTTGCAAGCAATAAATCCGACCCCACACACTAACTGAAAGTTGCACTACAGAACGCCAGATACAGTTATTTAAAGAGCAAATTATACATCCATCTATGAAGCTCTTTCACAAATATTCAGTGAACATAAAGGACTTAATGCAAAGATCTATATTAAAAAATGAACAGGATTCCAGACTGAAGTCTGACTTAATTCACATGACTCAGACGCAACATTTAATTTAATCCAAAATTTCAAACTGGTGTTAAGCTAATTATCTTTGAAACAGCATTTACACAGGAAGAAAACAACCAAATATGTTGCCTGACTACTGATATTTTATAAAAATATATAATATATCAGTGTGTGCATGTAATACACACACCCCCCCACCCACCCACCCGCTACAGAATATATGTATATATGTGTGTGTGGGTGTGTGTATTATATATATATACCCACACATGCACACATATATACATATATTCCGTAGAAAGTAATTCCATTCAAGTAGTTCAATCAAGGAAATTCTGTATTTCATAAAATCCTATTTTACCTTCTGTTTCAGATTTTGAGCCTCCAGATTCACCGAATGGATTTGTGCGTCTATTAGGAAATTAGAATATTACATGAGGAGATTGCAAGAACCATATTGCAACAATCTTTACTCATGCTGCATCATTTAATAGCTTCATGAGATGGTGGCCAAAATGGATAGCTCATCTTGAGTCATGAAGAATGATTTACTAACCACTAGGACAAAACCCAAGCTGCTGCATTTGAGTGGGGGGGCTCAGAACAGAGAGAGCTGACAAACATCAGCTAACGTTGTCCCACTGCTGTGGGAATGCATTTGGGCCCATAAATTTATTGTTAAATCCAACTTCTAGGAGTCACATTAAAAAAAAAAAATCCTAGTTTTAAAAGAGAGTCTTACTAAACAAAAAGGCTAGTCCTGTCAGTGAGTGACTGAAGCAGCACATCTTCCCCTACTTTCTCAAGTTGTTGAAATACCTGTGGAAAAGTCATTGGCGTGGTCTTGGATGCAGCTCTTAGAAATCTTTCTTGGGATTTTACCCCTGAGATGGTCAAGAGAAATTTGGCTATTTCTGGCTTTTGGCAAAGACATAATTACTTTCAATCACAATAAAGTGAAAATATTCTAGGCTTCCAATCTATATTTTTCAAGAGAAGGGAAGAAATGTAAAAACAGAAAATGGAGAGGTTTGAAAATAGGTGAAAATTCTTAAAGAGAATGGGAAAATGAAAAGCTTTCTTTTGGCTAACTGACATCCTTTGACAAAAATTTTCAGGTAAGTAGCAGATAAGGAATTTAAACTTCAAATCAAGATTTGCGGGGCAACAAGTGAAGCTGCCATTTTTCAGTGTCTCTCATATGCTCTGAAATTCAGTTTTAAAATATGTCAGAGAGAGGTAGGCAACCCCTGGCATGGGTGCCAGAGTGTGGTGCACTAAGGCCTTTTGCTTGGCACATGCACCTCGGGGGCAGACAGCAGGGAAGAGACCGGAGCTGCACTGCTACAACAAGGATTGGGCCTCTTGTGCCTCCCCTGACATCTGCCCCTGGCATGCCAGCATCTATCTTTCTTACAAGTCAAGTATATGGCCTTTGGAAACAGTTGAATTAAATAACAGAACTCTGAACTAAAGTTTGCACAACAAAAAAGAGAATACTAGAAATCCCAAAAAAAGGAATGCTCATTATTCCAGTATGTTAGGAAAATACCCACTACTAGAGTTTTCAGTGCTCAGTCTTTTCCTATCATTTAAAAATCAGAGTCAGATGGAGATAGTAAATTCTAAGTTTCTTGTGGTTTAGCAAAATGCAAAGAAAATCTATTAGATACATTTTATATTGATACCTGAAGCTGAGAGACCTAATTTGAAGAGTACTGTTGTAATGGTATGAAGGAATAGCATGTTATCTAAGTATATCAAATGTAGTAGTTCTTTTGAGATCTATTTAACATATATTTACTGGGAAATATTGATTGTGTCCCTTTGTAACATTTCCCACCCAAGACAACATAATGAATGTATATAATAGGAAATTTATTATTGTTGACACAAGCTTTAGCTTCAGCTGTTATAGTAAGTGTTTTCTAGAATCCAGTTCAGGTCTATTTTAATCAAAGTAATGTAATAAATCTGATGCACTACTAGCAGTCAAACTATGCTGCTGCACAAAAAGGAAAAAAGGAAACTGTAAAAAATGAATTAAAATAATGTACATCCCAACACTGTAACTGTTTGTGATTGTGAGAGATCTAAGTTCCTTCATTTTGGTAGCAGACACTCCAACAGTGTCCAACAATTCACACGGTAAATATTTTTCTAAGAGAGCCACTCAAAATTCTGTGATTCAGCCATGGATTTTAGTTTTCAGTTTCACTGACACTAACTGGATCTGTTATTGCCAAATGATATTACCTGTACTTGAATTCTGCATGTGCAGTTCTCTATAGGCAAAGCACACTATCAGGCATTTACATTTTGAATGGGAAGATAAATAAAATAGGAGAAAGAAGTCGATTTTTATTTTTGAGAGAACTCTGGCAATTTTCAAGTTTTTTTGTGCAAAAGAATACTCTAGAAGCCTAGATCATTTTCACTCACCTTTTGGTTTAAGAAGAATGTCATCAGAATGCCATCATCACCTGGAGTCAGGGCTACCAAATTTCTCTTGAGTTTCCAAGAGGAAATACCCAAGGTGCTGGGTGAGCAAGCAATAGGAAAGGAAAATATACTTTTTAAAACCAAAAGATTAAAAAGCATCAGCTGAGAAATGTTGCTGCAAAAATAAAAGCAGTTTTGAATCCTACAGATGTGTGGCATTTTTATAAGAACATTTGACAAAAAATATTTGTTTTGCAGACCTGATCTTTGTACGCTTGTTACAAGAGAAAATCTGAGCAAAGACAGTGTTGAAGTAGTTTTTCATTGTTATAAAACAGAAGAATTTAAAGAGTTTTCTCTGAACTGGTCCTCCTACCTGCCAGACTGCCCTGAAGTTTTTGCTTGGCCAGGCTGATCTTCACTAACTGGAGAAATGATGTCAAATTGTATAGGTGTGTCAGGGGCAACAAGTGAATCCAAGGAAAGGGTTGATAAAGGTGCCGATTCAGATCCCAGTGACCCAGAGCTGCTAGTTCGAGCAGTGGGAGGACGAGATTGTCTAAAACAAAAACAGAACAAAGAAGATTGTCCCAATTCTTCTGGACAACAAATGAGATTCCATGGTGGACACAAATGTAATATTTCAAAACAAGGAACTAAAACAAATCAAGTATTAGCTAAAAGAAATTGCTGAGGAACAAGACTGTCACTATAAAGTAAAGGAATACAGCCTAGGTTCTCAGCCAGTTTATATCATATACTACCGTATTTGATGACAACACAATAAGACAACAACATACCAGAATGTGAAATCTTAAGTCATATGACATAGTGTACTCTCTCGCATGCAGACTGTAACAATACATACCTTGTTTTTGAAAGTCAGAATGAAGAGGAAAAACTATTTTCCAGAATTATAGATAGATAGAATAGGGACAGAGATTAATTTTCAGCTGACTCACTCTCCCTTTCCTACTTAACTAAAGCTGAAACCTTAGCTGTTGCTAACGACTGGTCTCTATGAGTGGATCTATGGTTTTGAAAAAAAGCTAAGGCTGTGAAACAGTAGAAGAGACTGGGACCAGCTAGCAGACAGTAAAATTATCCTAAGAAAGGCTAGCTTGATTAGTGGAACATCAAGACCATTAAAAGGCAACATGGTTGTTAACACCTCTGGAGTGAAGAACAATAAACCATTAAGTCAACTAACACCTGTAGCAGACTAAAAAGTAACGCAACATCTGCTGTTTGTGTGCATGAATCACAGCAAGGTGCTTCTATCTGGGTCAGAAAATCAGCTTCCCTACTTAAAGCATGCACCCCATATTTGGCAGGTTGATTTTAAGGAAAAAGGTTTGTGTTGTGTGAGAGAAAATACAGCATATGGTAAACTATTAAAATCAGAATAGCAAGTTGGATCGTTTGCTTTTAATATGTTAAAATATTTACCAAAAAAGTATTTGAATGAATTGTTCAAGAACTTGGGGTTTGTTTATTTTTGCACCCCATTAGAAGGTTACTGGAGATAGGAGAAAATGTTTCTGTAGATCCTGTCATCATTGAAGATGCCTTTACTGGACACTTGTTAAAAATGTGCTTTTTAAATGATCCCCTGTTCTGTAACTTACATAGTTGGCCGCATGCTCTCATGTCTCTGCTGGAAGGAAGGAGAGGGGGTGACAGCCTCAAGAGCAGACTGATTGACACGTGCAGCAATTTCCTATGTTAAGGAAAACAGGTAATTGTAAATATTTCCTCCAAAGTGAGTTCTTGAATATTCAGTTACTCGTATAAAACAGAACACAAATACTGTGTTCATTATTTCATCTTTATTAATCTTTGCAGGATTCACATATTCCTATCAGTGGTATCACTAATACACTTGTGCATATTTATTGCTGTTCTTTTAAACGCGTTTTTTCAACTGACATAAGCACACCTAGTGGGCAAGAGAAGGGAAAGTCAGCTTCCGCAAGAAGCCATTTGAGGAATAAAGTAAAAAACCCCCCACATTTTCAAACCAATGAAGTGTGAAGATGCCTATGAGACATTCACAGTTTTCAGTGAAATTTGGGCATGTATAATGCATGAATACCGTTTCACCAAATAACGGATCTGGTTCTTTGCAATTCTGACTGATTAATTACGTTTTTGGAAAAGTGTGTAAAAGCAACACATTCCAAATGAATTAGGGGAATGCATACCTGCTATAATTACATAACAATTATACAGTGATAAAACAAAATATTAGCATATTCAGTTCATTTAATATAAATGTCTTGCCTTACATAAAAGTCTGCCAACAACATCCATTTGTTGAATAATGATCACTAATAACCTTAATTTTAAGCTCACATTTTCAAAAAGAGAAATAAACATGTTTCTTAAGCTTGGGGTACAGATTCAGAGACCATATTTGATTATCTGACTACAGACTTCTGAATTTCAGATTTTGATTCCTTTTTCCAAAAGTTAGCTCAGCACCTAGATCCTGCCCATATCAAAAGTACCGTGTCATTTTGTTTTGTAAGATTTGGATAAGAGCCATTTAAAATATTATAAAAGCAGATGTCAATAAGTTTATGCCTGCACACTTTTTTGGCGTGTATCTTCTTAAAAAAGCTCAGTGTATTAGGATTACAGTAAAATCGTTATACTCCAAACAGGCAAGGCTATTTACTTAACATTAAGGCAGGAACACCAAATCTGCCTGAAAGAGTCTGGTGTTTGTTTCCCATTGAAAGTCATTTGCAATTAGGTACCTAATTCCCTTAGCACCTTTGAAAAATCCTAACTCAGACTTTCATTTAGATAATGCTTTTTGACTTTTTCCTTTCAAGCAGATTGCAATTTGGCAATCAGCAGAAGGATTTTCAAAAACATATTTTATATTACTTTTAGATGTATTTGACATACAAGACAATATAAAAAAAAAAATCACTGTTTAAAAGCATACATGGATTACCTTGTTTTCAAACCATGCCTGGTCTCCTTTCTATCCATACCTACTATTCATTGTTAATTCATAAACCATTCATGGCATTTGATGAACTAGGATGTAGCTGAAAAGAACTCATGCCTCTCTGAATTAGTTAATCTATAAGGTGCCACTCTGCTCTGGCTTCCGCCCATGTTAATTTGATTCACAAGTAAAATTACCCATTAAGATAACTCACCATAGTGATTTATGCTAATCCTAAATATAGTAATACAATAAAATGTCAAGTTTTAGTATGCCTTCCACTTAACCATTTGCGTTAAAAAAAAATGTGTACTTGCTTTTCAAACTTCATAAAATAATGGCAACCATTTCCTGCCTTGAAAAGCTCATGATCAGATATGAAGGAAGCATAACTTAATTTCACACTACCAAATTACATCCACTCGATCTCATTTAAAATGCATGTGCACCAAATTGAAAGATATTCTTTGTTAGTTTTTGATATTATACCATGAATGATTATACTTACCTCAGCATTTTCACTTAGGTATATCTGTTTAGAAATGTTGTTTATTGTACAAATCCACTGCAAAAGTAAAAAGGGAGCCTCATTATATCCATAATCCATAATCATTTTAAGACACCTGCTTAATATTTCCACCTCACCTCTGGGGCAAGTGTACAGACATCCCATGGTTACAAAACAAAGCATTATTCCCCTCAAAATATTTTTGCTGTGAAGTTAGTCCTTTTTTTTTTTTTTTACATCTAGAACATATTTTATTTTCCATCTCCCTTGGTGACTATAATCTGCGAGCTGCTCCCTCTTGTTCTTCACTGTTCCACTGAGCCAAAGCTTCAGTATAGCTTTTTGTCAGGAATAGATGTTTATCAACTGGACCATAAGAAGAGTGAAGAAGTTAAGGCCCAGAGATGTAGGGAGATGAGATACCATATTTTCTCACATATAACATGCCCATGAATATAACACATGCGATGTTTGGAAGGCCCCAAAAAGGGGGGGAAAAAATCTTACCTTGGGAGTGTACACGTATATACCAGAGACCTCGGGTCTCCAGACTGGGGGTCATGCCAGCACTGGGGCTGTGTGCCAGGTCCAACTTGGTCAACTAGTTTGGGGTTGCACGCTGAGCAGGGACTGTATGCAGACTCTGGAGCCACACATCAGGTTCAGGGCTGCATTCTGGGTTGGCATGTGGGGTGTGGTCACAGACCAACTCTGTGCGCTGTCTCAGTCCAGCATGTGGTTGGCAAGGGTAACTCCCCATGGGTCTGGAAATTTGGCAGCAGCAGGGGCACGGGGGGAGAAGGGAGCCGTGGCAATTAATGGCGCCATTGCTCCCCACCCCAACTTTCCAGGCCCAGGAAGAGCCCTTTTCTTCATATAATGCACACCACAATTTTCCCCAGCTGGCTGGGGAGGGGTGGGAGGAAGGGAGGGGGAGAAAGGTGTGGGTTATATATAAGAAAATATGGTACTTGAAGTTAGCTCCATGGACCATAGGAGGACAGGACGTTATAAGCAGGGCTGCTTAACAACAGAACTGAAGACCAGGAGAGGAGCTGAGCCAAATGGAGCAGCTTAGCAAAAATAAAGATCTGCCCTTAAAAAAGCAATTGTCTCATTTTACATCAATGAGCTCATTCAACAATGAGCCATAGGTCTGTGTGGGTGTGGAGAGAGTAATAAAATAAGAATTTTGAAGAGTTTTGGTTCCTTACACAGTACCATGAAGATAGTGCAGTGTTTCTTGCACAAAAACAGATCGTTATACATTCATTTCAGTAAATACAATTTTGATTCAGCAAATGTTATAATTTAGCTGATTTGTTCCTCTCAGTTTCTAGAAAACCCTTTCAGTCTCCAGATCTTAATGAGGAGGAAGGTGTCCCACTGCATCCTAAATTCTAAGAAGCAGCATTTTTTGTTAGCTCATTGTAGTCTGTCATATTACTTTTTATTTTTAGAATCCATAGAGCTAGATTTATCCACCCTTTTGAAGTGGTAATTATGAGAATTATAAGGAGCTCTGAATGCAACCAACAACTAAAACAAGCTATGTCTCTTGAATCAAGATTTGTTCATCTGAAACATGAATCTGTGCTTCTGATTGTGCAACACAGGGCAGGGTGCCATTTTGTTCTTTGGCATTCTTTGTCTAAGGTGACAAAAAAATTCCTTTCCGCTCTCAGCTTTCGGCTAGTGATCTAAGATTCTGTATTTACTCCTTACATATGATTTATAAGAAGCTTTATTAACTGCTGTGAAGCAACTGAAATGATGAGGTAAAATGTAAAATTTGGATTTTCTAACATGCTTGTTTTGGAGTAGGGCATTCAGGGCATCTCGGTTGACAACAAGCCAAAAAGTAGCTGGCAGTAAGTATGTATTGTCAATTACTACCCCAGCCATTTTCCCCCTGCTATGTTAGATCTATAGATCCTCAATGACAATGACTCTTGCTGGCACAGATTTTTCCCATGCTTGGGACAGTGGTGCCTTCCTACGTAGAAGGCTTGAATACAAGAAATTACAAAGTCACTCTTTACCCTGGGCCTCCTAGGTGATAATGATGGCCTTTTTCCTTAAATATTTCATTCATGCAATTATTTTTTCACAAGCACTTGCTATAAGCTTACCTCTTCATAGTCTTTTTTACTTTCTGCTTGTAAGATTGAAGACCTGAAAGAACAAAACATGAACAGAGAACATTTTCAGTCTTGTTTGTTTAAAAACAAAGCAGCTTTCAGTGATTCTCCTGTCTAGATGTGCATTTTTTCCTTCATTTTAATTTTTATTAGTAACACTATGGAATACCCAGCACAATGCTGGTGTAGTCTGTATTGATTTTGTACACTGATGTAAATTATACTAGGAGCTAAAGTTGAGAGATGACTTGGTATCTTGGGGTAGTGCATCAGTAAGTGCTGTTACAACACCTTATTCAGGAGGTGAAGGGGAGCATATATTTGCTTGGTGTTAAGAAACTGGCAACAACTCAGGTTGGACACAGAATCCATTCACTGGTGTAACATTTTTACTGCTATTTTTACCCCAGGGCAATTCTATACTAGATTCTAGTAAGTTTCACTAGTGCAGGAATTTGCATCACATGTCCGATGTTTGTTTAATGGATATAAATTGGGTCACATGCCCAGGTCCTAGGTGCTATGCATGCATCCTAAGCACAGATTAGATTCAACTAAAGATATAAGTAATTGTATTTCTAATAAAAAGATCAGGCAGGAAAGAATTATATTTGAATTTATACAATAATTTAGCAGAAGAGTACTGTTGTCCAAAATAACCCCATATATAAAAGTGCTACAAGCCTATGAGGTTCGAAGTTATTTTCTAAATCAATAGCAGCAATATTTTTATTTAATTATTTAATAGGCAGAAATTACAAAACAAGGCAAAGTCTGTCATTCAAAAAAGATTATTATAAAAAAATATCATTTCTCTGAATCTATTTAAATATACTTCTATTTCAGATGCGCCAGTCAAAATAATAAATATAACAACACACACACTTGTTTTTGTTTTTTCCCCCTACCTATTCAGGTAAAAAAAAAAAAAAAAAAGTTGTGTTTGCATTTTAGAACAAAATCTGAAATAAGATGTGGGAAATGGTTAGCCATGTTTGTCTGAAGTCAAGCAAACAGTACAGCAGGGTGGCACGTTCAAGAGAAGGTTCAGAGAGGCATGAGCTTTTGTAGGCAACAACCTACTTTGTCAGTTGCAAAATAAGGTCTAGTCCCCGTAGTTGTACAAAAATCTTTTTTATCTAAGTAATAAGTACATTAAGTCCCAAGAAGGCAGCTCAAAATTACTATACTGAGACCCAACTGAAAGTGTCCAAATAAAACTGTCCAAACAAAAGCAAAATGTGAATGTTAATAGCTCCCAATTATTTTTCCTCCCGTGATGTTGAGATCATCATACAAAAAAAGAACTGAATATTGAACAATCCTTTCTAGAGAGAAAAAAACCATAACTATGGTGTTCCACACTGAATTGGAACTCTTCAGAGAAAGCAATACTTATGTTGTAGCAGCCCCACTTCTAAAATTACTGGGGAGAATAGGAAGGAAATAAGAGAGAACTGAATTGTAGATGATTTCGTTGATACAGGTAAGAAAGCATTATAGCATATGAAAAAGGATTGTTAAGAATTTAAGAGCATGTTCTAGTTCCTAGGTAAGACTTATTTTTGTTGTTAGGAGCTTCATGCAACTATGTTACTCAGTATAACCGGGTAAAAGACAATAAAACCCCAAATTATGAACATTAACAAAAGACACCTGATTTATTTTTTTAAACTAACATCTCGAAATATTACATGGAAAAATTTGAAATCTACTAACTTTTTTCCATCAAAAGATGTTATCTGAAAGCAGTATCTTCTGTCTTCACAGTCCACAGCCATTACTGAACAGTTGTCTATGTCCATGACAAGCCCTCCAGCTACATCACCTCTTGCCTGACTCATAAGGTTTCCACCTTGAGTGAAGTAAAACTGTCTCTCCCAACTAGAAGACACCAGGCCAGTCTTACTAGAACAAGAAATCAGACGTTCAATTAATAGATTATATTTCTATCAGACCTCGAAATTAAATAAACAGATAAAAAAGACAAGCAGGGCATCCAAATTCTCTAAAGAGAAGAAAAGCCTTTTTTACTGGGTCTCCTATGAATGTGGCTTTTCATGTAGTCTCATATAAATGTATATACTTTGGTTGGTTTTCTTACTCTTATTTTTTTAATACTAAACAGGTTTTAAATATTCAAGACTTGTACAAGACATCACATGAAAACAGTATTAGCAAACTACTGACTATGTAAGAAACTTAATTAGAAGAGGTTTAAAACCTTTCATTTTGATTAGTATTGTTTGGGGCATTGGTTTATACACTGTCAAAAAAAGTTAAGAGTTTCCTTTCACTTAGCCTCTTAGCACTAAAACAAAAAGTTTCTTGAGGGTGTGGCAGGGCATTGTTGGTGCCTGCCACTTTAAGAGCTGAGCCAAGCAGCCAGCAGGTGCTTGACTGTGGCGGCCATTTTAGATCTCTGGCTGCCTATATAAACAGGGCAGTTTGCAGCTGGTAAGCCAGGCAGTAACATCACCTGGCTGCATGCAACATCCTGGAGGTAAGGGCAGGAGTTGTTGGGGGATGGTTTGGAGGCTCCTGGTCTGGGACATGACCTAAAACTGCACCCTGCTGGGAGTGGGTGGCCTGGCGGGACTCTCAGTGGTGTGGGAGCCCCCAAGAAATGCCACCCCCGGTGAAAGGTGGGTAGGGGCACCTGAACCCCAGCCCTCACCTTCGGGTGGGTTGCGTAACATTGGAGGTAGCTGGGGCCAGGCATGGCTGCAGCCACTTGAGCCCTGTGGAGTGTAGGACCCTGAAGAAAGGTAGTTGGGGCCAGACACTGCTACGGACACATGAGCCCACTGGGGAGGGAAGCCCCGCAGCCCCAATGAGGGGGCGGAGATGTGGAGTCCCAGTGAAGGGGCGGCCCCAGTGAAGGGGCGGTGTGGAGCCCCAGTGAGGGGGGCAGAGATGAGGAGCCCCAGTGAGGGGCGGTCCCATGTGAGGGGAGTAGGCCAAGGTATGTCTTCAGATGCCTGAGGCTGTAGTTTGGGCCAGAGGCCAAATAAGGGGGCTCAGTCCGAGAGATAGGGGAGAGTTCTGACCCCGGTAAGTCCTCCACCACTGGGAGGATGAGTGCGAGTTAAAAGTAAGACCTACAGTTGAGCACAATCACCTGCTGCTCCAGGGCGGGTGTGAGTGTCCCTGTGAGGCTCCGGAGCACCAGTCATGGTGTGGGTTAAGAACGCCCTGGTGGGGGGTGGCCCTAGAAAGGGTGCAGAGAGGAGGGACCCCAGTGGGGGGGAAGAACCAGAGGGCTTGGAGTGTACAGAGGGATGTTTGAGTGTACAGAGTTGCCCTGGGAGGGGCCAGAGCAAGCTTAGACCCGGTCAGGTAACTGGCTGGCCACTACCCCGGTGAGGGTTGCGGGAGAGACCCAAAAGACGGTACATCTGCCACGCAAGGTATGAGCTAGTTAAAGCCTATGGCCTCAAGGGCCCACTCTAAGAGGGAGCAAGGCAGTATAAGTTGTTGACACACAAAAGAGGATGGAGTATGAGAGGTCCTAGTGAGAGGAGGGCGGTATGAATGTGAGCGTGTCTGAGGCCTGACAACGAGGCCTAAGCTTAATCCGGCTGTAGGCTGGGAGGACTGTCATCTGGATGCCATCTGCGAGGCTTGGGCTGCGGTGTAGGGGAGGAGCAGAACCGCAGATAGCACCCCCTGGCATCAGGGCAAGAATGGGCAGCCTTCTGCCTTAATTAACAATTTAATTAACAACAAGGCATGGCAGGTGAGTTGGGTGGGTGGTGTGCTCAAAAGCAAGTGGGGAAACCAGCAGTGTGGCTAGTCAGGGAGCCCTGCTTTGCCACACGGGCACTTATGCAGTTTTAATTTGTTAACTAAGAAAACCTAATTTATGAAATGTTAATTTCACCACAGCCATTTTTCATGCAAATATCTTTGATTCACAGGAGGAGGCTGTCACAGATACTTAACACAACATAATTGCTTCTGAAGATGTTTACAAAAAGAATATCCTAATGGGTAGGTAATCTGGGGTACTGCATCAAGCATACGTATGCTGGAACTTTACCTTTTTCTATACAGACCAACTAACTATAGAAATTGTGCCCTATTTCAAGAATTCAGGGAAACTCTTTCCTACACTAGTAATAACAACTGAAGTTTGATTCTTTAAAAATTTGGGTTGTATGTAGAGCATGGTATAAGTCAGAAAATGTACTCCAAACTTTATAGCTTTTATTTGTTTTTAACCAGTTATAATGTGCAACAGGTTGTCTTTACTTTCGTATGGCATAACAATAGCTCCCTCCAGTGGGCAAAACCACATTTTCAAGTAGTCATCGATGTTCACAAAAATCTAATTATGTTAATGAAGGAAATTTAATATTCAGTAGTGTTTCTTAGAATAATGTAATCCTAACTCTTATCTGAAATGTATGCTGAACAAACATATCCATTCATATCTCCCAACTGCTTTCATAGCTGCAAGATTTAGGCAAGTAAGTCTAAATTAAGAAGTATATCAGTTCTGTAATCATTACACTGCAATCAGGTCTCAGTTCTATTTCTGACTGCAACTGGGTCACTATAAGCTTGCACACACAAATCACTATCTCTAGACATATCAGTGTCTCCATCTGAACATGACATTCAGAGGATATACTCACTCTTTTTAAAAAAGATCCATCACTAAATAAATAATTGTACCTAACTGCAAACTACTACTACTTGAGCCAGTAACTAAAATTAGTAACTAGAAATTAGTATAAAATAATTTATAATTACAATCTGTCGTGTGGAGCTAATCAAAAGGAAGCAAATCAGTTCAGTTTAGCCATATAAATGTTTACCTACAACCCAATATAGCTGGTTTTAGAGAGACTGGTTCTTTTTCTAGCTTGACTTTGAGTAAAGTGGTTTGAAAGTTTTAAATAGAAGGTAGCTCTTACTTCCTTGCATTAAGATATCCAGCTTTCCGGGTCAGACTTCTATGGACAGGAAATTTTGTAGTGTCAGGATCAGGCAAGTATAACGGATCACTAGCTACTTCCAAGTCTTCTATGGTCTGTTGCATGTTTTCTACTTCAGATTCCATTTCCCTGCGAACACTTAACATAAAATACATGTTGTATTATTATCTGAGATGATCTATCTGAAGAGAGACACCAAAGAAAATCAATTCATGTTGCTTGTTTTACAGATAGAAGTAAGAACAAAGAAAACTTACTTTTGTACACTTGTGCCAATATTTGTTAAAAATTCTTCCAGGTGCTCAGTAAGATTTTCTGAACCCATTTTAAAAAAACTTATCTTTAAAAAAAGGATGAGAAAAACGGGAAATCAGTTACTGAATGATACCATACAGACTATTAACAGATCAAACTGCAGGAATTCAAATAATCTTTGAGCCATGTGCCCCCCCCGCAATTTAATTATGAAACATGTCCCTCTTTCCTATCTGAGCACCTCAAATTAAGAGAAATGAAATACTGCTCTGTCATTTTGCTTTCCCTTAAAAATACTCCATCTTTCATTCCTACTTCCAAGTTAGAGCTGTAAAACATAAGAATAATACTTGTATTCAAGAAGAATATGAAAACACTGCAATCAATACTCGGGGATTAGATAATCTTATTTTGAAAGGAGGAAAGAGAAGACTAAATTCCTCTGGTAATGGAACATTCTCCCGAAGTCTCTACAATTATGTTTTAAGAATACTGTCACCACAAAATGTTGTGTACAGAAAATCTTTTCATTGATGCTCTTCCTAGAAAGTCATTTGAAATTAATCTTAGATAGTTTTACATGAAGACACAGGAGGAGACACTTGTACTCTTGCATCTTGGAAAAATCAATGGCAGTTTTGCCATGATTGCAGTGAGGTCACACCCAGAATGGTCACACAAGAAATCCAAATCAAATAAGATATGTCCAAAATGTCTTTCTCAAAACTTAGTCCAATATTTATCTCTGGGACTGAGCTGGGTTGAGATATAGGCAGTGATTTGTCACCTTCACCCTCACTCTGACTACTAACACAAAAAAAACCTTTATCATCAACAATTTTATCTTTAGCTAGTAACAAAATTGATTCAGAATGATTTTGAATAACATTCCATCTCTTCCACATCTTCGATAGGCATGTGATTTTAATGACTCTAGGTCTTGTCACAAACAGCTGCCAAAGGAAAAATAACATATGCGTTTCCCCCACATATTCCCTCAAAATCCTGACCTGTGAGAATTACTTTTTCCTTGAGAGGGGGGAAAAATGGCATCCTTCCAAGGCTATTTCATTCTCAGCTTCCCCGTATACTTGCTAGTGCCAAGCACTTACTTGGCAGACATCGTTAAAGAGGGAGGGCTAGAACCAATAAAACAGGTGCCTAAAAGGAGGCACTGCACAATCTAACTTGTAGGCATCTATGCTCTGGAATGTAATCCAAAACCCTACGTTAGACTCCTAGGCTGCCTATGCAGTACATGGGCAGTGGTGGGTAATTGGAAACAACCTGCACATTGAGTAGGCAATTCCCTTAGAGAGACCTTCAGGAACAGTAAGGGATGTGTCTGAAATCCACCCCCCTCCCCCACTTGGGATCCACAGCTGGAATCCTATAACCATTCTTTCCAAAAAAAGAGCAAGGTTTATTCTTCTTTCAAGGCATGGTCAGAGGAGGATGAGGAGTGGTGCTAGTACCCATTTTTATGCAACAGACTAATGTTTAGAGCATTCACCAGGAAGCGAGGACCAGGGTTAAATTCCCCCCCCGCCCCACTAACAATTCTAAACCTGTATTTTCCACTTCCCAGGCCAAACCCAAACCATCAGGATGCAGGCTACTCTGGAAGGAGCTATTCCTATAGGATTCTTCTCGGCACACATGGTAGTTTCAGGATTTATTGGAGCAAAGGGAGCATGTTTCTGTAATCTACTGCACAGAGCATTCCCTCTCCCTGAAAAGAAGTCCCTGGCACTTTTCCCTACTCCCATGCTTCTTGCAGGATTTTACGCTAAACAACCTTTGGATAAGTTACACGAGGACTGTCCAACTTCTTAGTGGCCAGGGACCACATGCCCCTCCAGCCCATATGTTGCATGGGCCGTATACCAGGTAACCCTCACACTGTGGGGTGCAGGCAGCAGGGCCACTAACACGTGTCCCCCAATCACTGAACCATGCAGCAAGCTACCACTCCACTGCATTGTGCCAGCACACCTGAGCTTTGTGTGCCCCCAGCCACTGCACTGTATAGCAGGCACCCCTTCCCCTGCCATATCATGATGGCAAGCTGCATGGAGTTCCCAGGTGCCCCATGCTGCCTGGCCACAGACCAGCCACAGATACCTTTGGCCCTGTAAATAGTCCTGTTCCACCCCCAGGGGCAGGGACAGGCAGTGAAATCAGGAGGGCACTGGAACCCAGAGACAGCAGCAGCAGCACACTGGGTGGGGGGGCGGGGCACATGCAACACCCAGAATGGGAGCCCAGTGGCCACAGGTGGCCCACAAGCTGCCAGCTGGACAACCCTAAGTTACACAGCGCCCAGTTTCTGGATACCAATCAGGCTTCAGAGGGGAGAGAAGTTGAACTGCTCATGCCAGGGCAGATATTTGCATGGGCAGAAACAAAATGCTAGGTAAACAGGGAGGCACCTAGTGAGTTTGTGCACCTCCAGGTCTAGGCAGTACCTAAATGAGGGAAGACTTTTTATTGGTGCCCTTCCACCTTATTTTAAATCCACAGCTTTCAGTGCCTGCAATATTCACCTGAGCTTGCATGTAACCTAACAAAGGTTCTAGCATAGAAATTTTCTTCTTGTACTGAAGAGTATTTAATGCACAGAAATAATGCATCATAGTCTGATGCTGTTTCTTCCTGGAAGTATATACATCTTCTACAACTTCAAACTTGACCTAAAGAGAGGGAGGGGAGAAAAAACAAAGTTCAAGACTAGGCATCATGTGCTCTCTGTACAGGTTTTAAAACAAGTGCCAACACGGTCACAGTAATCTTTACCCTAATAAAATATTATGAGAAATGATACTTTTTTGCCCCGTGACTTCTTTTCCAGAATTCAGGGAAAAGGTGTTCCTGGTAATGAAACAGAATATTTTTTCCCCAGAACTGAGAAGTTCTCTCTCTCATCCAAACACCTGGATTGTGTGTCAGTCTTGCAATGGAAAAAAAAAAGCTTTTGTCTATTTTAACCGTTGTCTATGCTGTTAGAACCTAAACTATTGGATTCCAAGAGGCATCTATAATGTTACATAATATTTGCAGCTGTTGACATTATATCCGTTCTGGAACATGTATTCTGGCTTTACCGCCTCCAAAATGACTGCTTAAAAGTGTGCATCACACAAACCTTTTCATTCTCTCTTCTTTTCGACAACCGACTGTATCTGTTAATGGCAGCATCATGATCTAAACAATAAACATATTTTTATAATAATTCAGTAAATTAAATACATTTAGAAAACAGAACATGGAATAACAACAAGCAATCAACAAAAAAATCTTTGGTTGAAATGGTTTTGTTCAATGCCAAGCTGATACATAGGTCTGCAAAATTAAAACTCTAACAACTCTATGATTTAATGAAATTTCATGAACAATTTTTGGCCTCTTGACAATTATTCAATTACCATAGCTACTTCAGCTTGTATTCATGTAATTAGAAATTTCTTGAAATATAAAATTATCTGGCAAAGATGAAAAGCAATTTTTTCTATAAAGAGAAGCTATTTTATTAATAACAATATCACCAACACCTTCTAATCTAGAAATCATTTAGATTTAATATAGACTTTTCCCATTTATTAACCAACAGCGAAATAATTACCAGAATTAAAGAAACTCTCTGAATAGTGCAATCTTAACCACCCTCTATAACTGCATTTTAAAACTAAGCTTAAAATTTCTAATGCAAGAAAAAAAAGAAGTAGAATAACAATTGTAGGGAGCTAAACTTCCATTTTTTAAATAAAACCATTTTTATAAAGCATATATTTTTCATAGGCAACTGACCACTAATTACCATCACCTTTTTACCATTGTATTTTTTTTTTATCTCATTCCAGATTTTGTTCCCACACAGTTATCAGTAACTGCTTTAATGCTGAAGTATGTCATCACTAAGTTTTCTAAGTAAGATTTGTTTGTTTGCCTCAAATTTTTGAGGGTCAAGGCTGGAATTTTCAAAGAAGTCAGGAAAGGGGGGTGCCTGGGTCCCACTGAAAATGACTCTTTTTAAATGTATCTTCATAGATTTCATAGACATTCGGGCTGGAAGGGACCTCGGAAGATCATCGAGTCCAGCCCCCTGCCCAAGAGGCAGGAAGTCAGCTGGGGTCTTATAAGTTTAATTTTATATCCAGATATGAAAATGCTACATATTCACATCAAATTAAACATTTAAAAATACACTTACCATTGCTTGCAATTTGGAAAACTTCTTTTAAAGTCAGTATCTCTACAAAGAACATATTTATGTCAAAAGGTGAATATAAAACACTATAACAACATTATTACATATATCTACAACACTCTAGTTTTATCTTCTTTTAAAGAAGTTCTTCAATTTCTGCTGAAGAGGAAATACTCTCTGAAACAGCCCCTCCAGAAGAAACTACTGGTCCATAAAAGCTTTAAGCGTTTTCCCAGATACACAGCTTTTGAAGGCTGTGTCCTTTTCCTGTGTACAGCGGTAGCAGAGGTGTTTCTCGACCAACTGACACTGATTCTATTGAGGGACTGAGTCATAAAATACTGCCATCAGACACAAAGACACTTCTTAATATACTATGTCAAGGGAAAAAGGTTCTTCTCAAAGAATCTGAGAAGTCAGTAACCCAAAGACATCATCTAAAATCCTGTTCAGAGGTCAGCCAAGAAAAAGAAAAAGCTTCTGGGGCAAAGGTTACAACGAAGTAACGACTAGTGAGAAAAATTATAAAAAGAGAATGGCTTAGAAAAGGTTCTCTTTTTAAGACAGTAACTCATAAAACAAACATCTTTGATATCTGCTTATGTTTTTGACCTGTCTTGTCAATTTTAATTAAAAGATCTAAAAGGAAATGTGATCTCCTAGGTATACGTGCAGTGCTTAGCACAATGTGTCTCAATCTGGAGTGGGTTTTTTGTGTACTATGACAACATAAGTAAATAATATTCATGTTCACTTTTAAACATTATAAAGTAATTGTGAACCAGGAGTAGGAAAGCCTTACAGTAAATATTTTAAATTACAAAAAGATATTTAGTTATTTAGGCTTATCGTAGTCTGCAGAAAAGACAACTGAGGGGGGATTTGATAGCAGCCTTTAACTACCTGAAGGGTGGTTACAAAAAGGATGGGGCTAGACTGTTCTCAGTAGTGACAGAACCAGGAGCAATGATCTCAAATTGCAGCAAGGGAAGTTTAGGTTGGATATTAGGAAAAACTCTGTCACTAGGAGGATGGTGAAACACTGGAACAGGTTACCTAGAGAGGTGGTAGAATCTTCATTCATGGAGGTTTTTAAGGCCTGGCTTGACAAAGCCATGGCTGGAATGATCTACTTAGGGATGGTCCTGCTTTAAGCAGGGGGTTGGACTAGATGATGTCCTGAGGTCCCTTCCAACCTTAATTTTCTATGATTTGATGAAAAGAACATAATCTCATTAGTTACTGGGTACAGCATCAGCTAAAGATTATAACCTTTCCCGTGGGCAAGTTTTCATCTGTCAGTAAATCATCAAGAGCCATTTTCAAACACCCCTAAATATTCAAGTCTTTAAGAATTGAGACAGTGGCACAATTTTTAGATATGAGTAGAGGAATATGGTTGCTTCCCTGTTCCAAAAAATAACTTTGGCATATTTAGTCCCACAATCACTTCTGCCACTAACAACCTGCTTTCAGAAACAAGAACATCTTTTCAAATATCCATAGGAAATTTAGCATAGGATGGTTTAGTAACATTTTAATTACATATCAAAATATTTTTATTTACTCCATTTTGTCTTTAAGACAATTTTCAACAAAACACTATTACACTTAACAGCCCAAGCAAAATATTCCAAAATAAGCATCTCATACGACTGGAAGAGGGCTAATGTTGTACCCATCTTGAAGAAAGGAAAGAGGGACGACCCTGCCAACTATAGACTGGCCAGTCTGACTTTGGTTCTGGGAAAAATCTTGAAAAAAAATTGTCAAGGAGGCCATCAACCACAACCTTGTAACTGGCAGGTTATTAAGAAACAACCAGTATGGCTTTGTTAAGGGGAGGTCATGCCTAAGAAATCTGGTGTCCCTCTATGACCAGATAACTAACCAACTGGATATGGGACATGTGCTTGACATCATCTACCTAGACTTCAGCAAGGCCTTTGATACTGTCCCTCATGGGATTCTCCTCAATTAAGCTGGAGGGTACAGGACTAGACCAGTCTACAGTGAGGTGGGTTGGCAACCCTGCTCAAAGGTCGAACCCAACGAGTTCTAACTGATGGGATAGCCTCATCTTGGAGGGTCATCTCAAGTGGTGTCCCTCAAGGATCAGTGTTTGGGCCTATGCTCTTTAACATCTTTATCAATGACTTGGATGAGGTAGTGGAAAACACAATGATTAAATCTGAGGACAACACCAAGCTGTGGGGAAATGCAGACACATCTGAGGACAGGGTAAGGATCCAGAATGACCGTGACAGGCTGGTCCTATGGGCTGAATGCAATCAGATGAGGTTCAACAGGGGCAAGTGCCAGGTCCTTCATCTGAGTAGGAAGAACCCTCCTCATAACTATATGATGAGTGGTGATCCACTGGCTGACACTGCATCTGAAAGGGACCTGGGGGTGACAATTGACCAGAGGATGGATGTGAGCCATCTGTGCAATGAAGTTGCCAGCAGGGCAAACAGAACTCTGGCATGCATCAGCTGATGTGCTGCCAATAGATCCAGAGAAGTGCTCCTCCCCGCTCTATTGCCATTGCTGAGGCGACAGCTGGAGTACTGTGTCCAGTTCTGGGCACCACATTTCAAGTAGGATGTGGATAAGCTCAAAAGGGTACAGAGAAAGGCCACATGCATGACCAGGAGCTGGGGAATAGGTCTTATGATAAGAGACTCTGGAAATTGGGTTGGTTCAGTATGAGTAAGAGAAGACTGAGAGGTGACTTGATAGCTGCCTACAAGTATGTCAGGGGCAAACACCAAGATCTAGGGGAGCAACTCTTCAGAAAGGCACCTCTTGGGAGGATGAAGTCCAATGGGCATGTTGCAGAGCACTTAGGTGCCCTGCTTCTAAGAAGGGAGAAAACTGCTAGGGGAAGAGCCCTACAAGTGAGTAATGAGTCCAGCTGCTGGTTGCTGGGGCAACCAGAGGAGGTCAGCTGATCAGAAGGGGCAGGGCCTGGCTCCTATATAAAGCCCAGGGGCTGAGGCCAGAGAAAGTTCCCTGCCAGCAGTCAAGGAGGAAGGAGTTCTCTGTTAGGGAAGAGAGGAGAAGCCTGATGAAGGAGCAGCGTCTGACATGGCTGCGAGATGAAAAATCTCCGGGTAGGCTTGAATGTTGTTATGGCCAAGCGGCTTCCATTTAAGTTATAGCCAGAGGGCTTGTGTTTGTGTTGCTGTTTGTAACCGGTGGTTTGGGTGAGGTTATTAGGGGTTGGAGGAGGCCTCACCGGGGACTCGCAGCGGAGTGTGGGGACCCAGCGCCAGTGAGGGCGCAGCATTTGGGGAACACAGACCCCAGCCCCAGAGAGGGGCAGTTGAGAAGCCCCAGAGAGGGGGCATTGCTGAGGAGCCCCAGTGTGGGCATGGTGAGCCCCGGAGAGAGGGCGGCATTACTGAGGGCACAGAGAGGGAGAGAGAGACTGGGCTGCGGAGAGCCCGAGTGCCAGAGAGGGTGTGGAGAGAGAGACCGAACAACGTCAGGCACATCTGCGAGGCTTGGGGCGTGGCAAAGAGGTGGTTGGAGCCACGCATAGCCCATAAGGTGGGAGTATACAGAATACTCAATACCGGAGGAGACCTAGAGATAACAGGAGAACCGTGGGCAAGCAGACGAAGGGCAGCCTCCCTATAAAATATATAAGATCAAAGTCGTGGCGGGCGAGAATTGGAGGGTGGTAATAGGTAACTTGACACGGTAAAGGAGGCAGCAGGGGAGAGCACGGTGACCCAGGCCGCCCTCCTGTTACAGGGCACAAGCTAGTTTAGGGAAAATTTAGGCTGGACATAAGGAAAAACTTATTTTCTGCAAGGATATCTAGAATCTGGAACATATCCCAGCAGAGGTGGTGCAGTCAGCATCCCTAGAGGTGTTCAAGAGAAGGCTGGACAGGCAACTCATTAAACCCGTTTAGACCAACTACCTCTTGCCCGTGGCTTGATTATCTTACAGGTCCCTTCCGGTTCTACTTTTCTATGATTCTATGTTGTCTAGCCAAGGTATTAATACACTACTCATAAAAACCAGGAACTTTAGGCATTTGTAGGCTTGGCAGAATTCTATTTTTAGCTTTTAATAATTCTGACAGCTAATATAAACATTTCTTTTTAAGCATTCATTTTGATTTTTATCTATCACAATTTTCAGGATTGCACAAAGTTAGGGGTGTTTTTCAGTATTTATTAATTTAAATTTTCAGAACTGTGTGAAGTTAGGCCTGTGGGGGGCAGACAATTAATGGTTAATTAATAATAATAATTAATTGTTACTGATGAAAATATATTTTCATTGGTCTGTGAGTATGCGGTGAGATCACCATTTATTGATGTTTATTTATCAATAAAAATCAAATCCTGCCAAGCCTAGACATTTGCCTACGGCCCTTTACTTTACTGGTAGCATGAAACAAGCTGTCTTACTGATTATGACTTATTTTATCCTTGGGCTCCACGCGAAGAGAAACTGCCAGTAATTACAAATTATATAGTGGTTTTGCAATGTGGACAAACATCCAGGGGACAACAAATATCCTGCAAATGACCTGCTAATTATTTTGAAGCTTAGCTAGAAATCAAGATCTGTCTGTGTCACTTAAGATGAAAAGTGAGTGCAAAGCCTGTAACTTAAACAGGTCAATTTGTTTATAGAAAGGAATTTATGTTTTTGCTGAAATTACATTAGATTAATTTCTAAACCATGGAAAAAGCATTCTATAGTGATAAAATGTTAACTGTTTATAGTAGGAATATAGCTCTCTGGATCTCCCTAACTTGTCATATTTAAATAGCCTACTATTGCACTGCAAGAACACTGAGATGAACTACCGCATCTTTCTGAATAACAGCCGCTATTTGATTATTTGATTACCTTACCTTTTAGATCCCTTTCTTTAAACTGAGTAATGGGAAACATCATGGCATCAGCTAGTTGAGTTGAAAGTACTGCATGACAAGAGCTGAGCTGTTGGGGGAAAACCGAAAAACACAAGTATAATTAGTCATTGGAAATGTTAAATTTCAGTTCCTCCTCGCTTTAAAGTGTAACCTTCAAGAACAAAGTTATTTTGATATGAAAGAGAAGCAAGGTTTGTTTAGTAATATCTTTTAATGGACCAACTATCTAGTTGGGAGAGATGTCTGACAAGCTTTCAGTACAAAATCCCCTTCTTCACATCTGGAAAAAAGGAGCTAGCTAAAGCCAAACAACAGATAAAACAATTACTTTAGTTTAAACTCCATTATGTAAATAAAAATAAACAGGTTTGATAATATTTTTTTATTGGATCACTATATACAACTGTTGAGAGAAATAGTTAACTGTATTAGTCTGAAGTCATGCAGAAGGCAGGGCCAGGTGACATTTTAGAGACTAACTCATACACAGAAGCATGCATTTTTTTATGGTCAACAGCCTACTTCATCAGATGCCATCTGAAGACAATAGAAGAATTTGGCTTGTTCAGCCTATCAAAACAACGGCTGAGGGTATTTGATTTTTATCTATAAAACCAAAATGAGGTTAACACCAGAATGAAGCTACTAAGCTACACAACTTCATCAGCACAAGAATAAATGGGCAGAAACTGGCCATGAATAAATTAGGGCCAGAAGTTAGTAAATCTGTGAAACATAACAGCAAACATTTTCTGGAACAGCCTTCCATTTCAAGTGGAGGGGCAAAAAGCTTTAAGTGCTTTTAAGACTGAGTTCTGTAAACTATGATAGGGATTACAGGTGGTGGTTCATTCAATAGTAGGGAGGTAGACTTGATGATCTAGAAGGTGCTTTCCACAGTCCCACCTTCCTCATTTTCCTCACCTTTTCCTTTTTACTGTACTTTAATATTAGTTCATTTACTTGTTCATCTCCTCTTAGCTTAAATTACAAACTCTTCAGATATTTGAAGATGTTGTCTGGCATGATGCAGTCCCAATCTTGACTCTGTGTGTGTCTCAAATAGACTTCTATTAAGAAGTTTTTTTCCATCTTCATCTGAAAAGACTGGTGTCTTGGATAAATTTACCTGCATTTGGTGCTAATAAAATAAGTCTAGTAGCTCCTTGTTCTGTAGAATAAGTTTTGTAGCAGACAGCAACATGAAAGTACAGAATAAGAGAGAGACATTGTTTCTAAATTACATAAACTGTACTTTGTTATATTGCTTCTATAAGTTCCGGTCAAACAATTTTAATCTTTATATAAATGGCGTGTACTGTATTTTCTTGCATATAACCCACACCTTCTCCCCATAACCAGCTATGGAAAACTGGGGTATGCATTACAATCAAGGAAAAGGGCTCCCCCTGGATCTGGAAATTAGGCTGGGGGAAGGGGGACCAGAGAGATGTCAGCATTAATTGCCACAGCTCTGGGAACAACAGCATTCCATGCTGTCACTGATCCCTCCCTCCCCACTGCACTGGATTGGGCGTCATAGGGTTGGACCTGGCGTGTATCCTCAGTGCAGAGTGCCAGATTGAGCCCCTGTGCATGGCCCCCAGCCCCAGAGACTACTTACCCATATTCCAAGATAAGATTATTTTTCCTGCTAGGGGCCTTCCAAAAAAATGAGGTGTGTGTTATATTTGGGATATGTTATATGCAAGAATACATGGTAATTAAAGTAGTAACAGTAATAGAAGTAGCAGTAGCTGTACTATTACTGCTACTACTGTTGTTGTACTACTACTAGTATAGATGAATGAAAGAGATTTCTGAATGCTTAAGCTAAAGGAAGCAAATGATAGTTAATTTAGGAATCTGTAGATCAGGGCAAAATGTGGCCCGTGGGCCAGATGTGACCTGCCAGGCCATTCTATCCGGCCCGCAGGGCCCCTCAAAAATTTAGAAAATTAATATTCATCTGCCCCTGGCTGCCCAGCATGTGGCCCTCGATAGCTTGCCAAAACGCAGTAAGCAGCCCTCCGCCCAAAATAACTTCCCACCCCTGCTGTAGATGGAAAAAAATAAGCTAAATGCAAAAACACTTGCCTCATCTATCACTTTTGCAAACTGTTGTAGGGTAGAGCTCATAACTTCATCATCACCCCCTAATGGAAAACGCTATAAAAATAAAAAAGAAAATCTGTTGGTTATAGCTTTCTTCTGTCATACATACAGCAGTGTTAACAACAGAATACATGTATGCTATGTATGAAAACTAAAACATTGGGAACTTAAGATACCAGTGCAGATTTAGTACCACTACATGTGTCATTTTACTAACATATTTCTTTTATATGAACATGAATATTTATGAAAACTACAGAAAAGTTTACCTTGTTTTTTAAACATTAAATCCTATCTTTCAAATCTGTTCTAGGGTTCAGAAAAGTGCAGGTTGGACCTGAGAAAATGAAGATTTTATTCTTTTTCTGCCAAGTCTCAATTTTATCACAAGCCTCACATTAGATATTAACCTTTAAAGCTGTCGATCTTATCAGGCAATTATATAAGAGTCTTCTATGAAAGTAAATTTCTAGTCTTGTCTTTTTGGAGTAAAGGCTGAAAAGAACAACCAAAATGTTTACAAAAACTGGAAACATTTAACAAGTCTTAAATGCATTTTTTTTTTTTTAAACTGATAATTTTAAATACCATCTCATGATATGGGGCTCTAATAAAATTATGCCATAATAAAAACTGCTCAGGTAGGTATCTGCTTCTTATTTATGAAAGAACAAAAGTAACTGATCCTTATAAGTTGAACCCATCTCTAAGCCCATTTTTATTTTTTTCAGACAAAATTATTTTAAATATAATGAAGTAAGAATATGTAAAGCTCTCTAAATTTCTGTTTTCACTGTTTCCTGTAATATGGACTTTGCTTTTAATACTAGTATTTTCCAAAAAGACATAAATTACACCCATTTCAATATGCACAGTTATTGACTTTAATGCTGAATTTAAACTTCAACTCTTTTTATAAAAAAAAATCAAGCTAATTTAAATTAACCCTGTGCACACAAATACATTCTTACATATACATATATTTCCTGTTGTAAACTAATCACAGCTTTGTTACAATAATCCATACCAGGGCTGTCCAACTCAAAGGCTGCAGGCTCCTGCCTGAGTGCCACTCCCTCCATGCACTGACTCTCTCGGTTCCCCTTTCTCCTCTGGCTTCTGTTTCCTGTCCCCACCCTAGACACAGGGAGCCCATGGCTTTGCAGGGCCTGGGATCCCTGCTATGTGGCTCAACAGGGGATCTCTGTGGTAAGTGGCCCTCATCTGCTCCAAAGTTGGTACAGCCTTGATCCATACTATGCAAGAAAAAGAACTGGAACAACAGCCAGGGATTTGGGGGGCCGGGCAGACCCAACACAGGGCCAGGAGTTTCGCTGCTGCAGAGGGAAGGCCTGCCTCACCCCTGTTGCAGGGCCTGGCATCTTCCTCCCTCTCTCCCCATGGCAGCAGGATCCAAGTACAGGAGAGGTCTGCAGCCCCAGTCCCTGAGGGCAAGGGGAAGCTGTGACTTTGCAGTTGGCAGCGCCCCTTAGTGGCTCAGCCAAGCCTGCTGTGCTCCTCCAGAGGCTCCCTGCCAGCAGCCTGGGGCCCATGCAGCACTGGGTGCATGGTGAAGACATAAGGGGTTGGCTCCGTTCCTGCCAAAGGTCACTAACTGGTAAACAGTATAAATATAATTGTCGCTTAACTGTTTAATCCTTTTTCATCCCTACTTCAGACCACACCATCTCTTCTCTTACCTGGCAACTAAAATTAAAGCTGCCACCTTGCAACAGATCATTAGTTTAGGCTGCCGTCCCTTTAAAATTCTCCAGAGGACAAGCATTCACTTAGCCAAAGAACTTTCTAATACTACTGAGGGTGATGGAGCTGAATAGTCTAAAGACTGCTCTGGGAAGCAGAATCACAGCAAGACTAATTTACATCCCCCAAAAATGGGGGTACCTTCTACATGGAATAAAATTAAACAGCAGTCAGCTGCTACCAATACACATTTTATCTTGATAAGATTTTACCCAGATCAATTTTGCACTGTGCTCTGGGAGAAGAAAAACTTACAAAAGTCCATTCTCTAAACTACTGGAAATGGACACTAATTTATACTATACCTGCTTCTCATATTCCTTCAGAAGTTTTGAAGTCAGATGAGTTGCTGCGCTTAATTCATTCTGGTTAAAAAGAAGGAAAATTGATTACTTCCTAATTTAGCTTTCAATCAATGTGCAGAAATTGTAGACGACGAGGGACGGAATTTGAATATGGTTAAATGAGCACTCTCAAAATACACCCGGCCAGATTTTAAAAGGATGTGAGCATCCACAATTTGTATTGACATTTACATGAGTTGTGGAAGGCCTGTATTTCTGGATATCACACCAACAGCACCTACAATGTACTATGTGGAGTTACTAGACCCTCAGTAATGGGTTTAAAGTCTCCATGCAGAAAACAGTATTCTATACAGTTATGATGATGCAGCTGTTTTAGTTCAAACTAGCAATCATGGTTCCTAAGTATCAACGGTATCACATATGAAGGGTAAATTTAGAACAAGCTGTGCCACTAAAGCTATATCTACATAGATAGTTAGGGCCAACCTTAAGATTGGCTTAAAGCCCAAACCACCAAGCATCTTCCCTATAAACCCCTCCACAGAACAGTCTAGTCTGGCCCTGGAAGCTTTTCTGCACTTCTAGATATGAGATCAACCCCATGCCTTCTTGCCTTGTAGCCCTCTCCCCTCCCACAGTATTTGGAGCCTGCCTAGGGGGTCAATTAGCATGGTAAACTTAACCTGTCTGCTTACACATTTTATCAGAAGTTATACAGATGGGATCTAAGCAATGATCTACGCAAGCATTTTCATAATAGGAAATACCTGCATCCTTTATAATATACTTGAGCATCAAGGGTGCAGAAATAAAAAGCAAAACAAGGAAGGCAATAAAATGAAGTAGCATAAGAACATGCAGATGGTATATAGGTTGGTCACAAGAAGAAATACTTATCTACCACACCACAGTCAAAATGGAAACAAAAGGAAGCAAATGCAAAACACAGGAAATAATGATAGCAAGAGACAGTAAATACAACAACAGTGAAGGGCATTTATAACTTTACATTACAGCTACAATCTCAATTGGTCATTAAAAAAAATCACTAGCTGCTACTTCCAACATCGAAGTCCAATCATCTGAACACAAAGTGCTTGATCTAGTAACCCATTTTTTTATAGTATATCCCAATCAACTCTTTTTATACAATTAGATCACTGCAGCAAATGATCTAGACAAGTAAAAGCATGATAACATGTGTTACCTGGCAGCTCTGTGTTCTTGGGGAACCCTGGCACAGTACACAGCCTGTCTGACTTGCAAAGAACTCAGCCCTCCCAATAAGAACTGATTAGAGGAAAGACTTACAAAAGACAATGAAGATGCAATGGGAGACGCACCTAAATCCCTCCAGACAAGGGTGACAGGAGTGAAGCAACTCCCTTGGTCTCATGTACATTGGAGATGGAACTGGATGACAACTCATTTTCATGGGAGATGGGACAGGAAAGCATCTTCATTAGCATCCAGAATGTAGAACAGAGATTCCAAGATAAGGACCGCACTGAATTCTGGGACCAGAGAAGCAGGGGAGCACTGCATGATGGGGTATCTCTGCTCCAAATGCTAATCAACCCGCGTCTGCACACACCCAGCTCAGTATTTATCAGATCAACTCTAGTAATGACTCCTTGACTGGTACCCAAAACACTGAATCTGCCTGTCTGCATTATGAGTATAATCAGAGTAATGCCACCCATAGCCAAGAGCGATCAGTTCCTATTACCGAGGATATGAGCCATTGTTTACCCATAAACAAACCTGGTGTTCTCCTTTGAGCCATTGTTAGTTCTCTACAAAAACCCCAACCCAAGCTCAAGTTTCTCTCCTGGTGCTTGGATCCAAAAGCTGCACCAGTTCCACTCCTTTTCTACCTGGAGTCCCTCCATTGATTGTGCTCAGTACTTCTGCCTGTCTGTAAGCTCCAACAAACACCTGGGAACCTCGACTGGTTCAAGCTTCACTGAGTGGTGAGACCCCCCAACTCTCTCTCTGACTCTAGGAACCTGACTTTTATTCTCTTACTCCAGGTAAGAGAGAATTCTCTTACTACAGCTTTCTAAACCTGACTTCTGTTTCTCTTACTCCAGGCACAGCTTTCTAAGCCCGATTTTTGCTGATCAAACTTGAGCTAGACTTCCCCAAATACCTAACTGAAACCATGTAATATTGTACCTGTTTTATTTGTCTCTTTTGTATGGCTATTACTACTGCTATCATCATAAGTTCATATACCTGGAAATAAATAACTTTTATGGTCAAGCTGGTTGCCATACTCTCTCTGAACCTCATTTACTCTTTCTTCCCCTTGACCTCCCCATTTGCTCTGCAGCAATGCTTCCTTTACCCAAGCCAAAGATCCCCGTAATTCCCAAAACTACAGTGAGGTCCGCCCATCAAGGGAGTTAGACTACTAAAACCATTGTGACAAGAGATTGGGATGTGCTGAGTTTTGAGGTGCATGAGAGTTATCAGCTGAAAATGCTCAGATGTCCACTGTTAGCGTGTGTGTGTCTAACTGCATTTATTATTGTCCCGCTGAAATAAGGGATGAACTGAGTACAAGGCACATGAGGGTGTCAGCCTGTCAATGCTGAATAATCTGGCCTGACTCAGGCATGCCCTGTTAATCTGTGTGCGTATATGTGTTTGACTGATTCGGTTGATTGGAGGAACCCAGCTCCACTGAACCCGAGTCCTGCAAGATAGCTCCATTGTGGGTAAGGACTTGCAGAAGGGAGAGATACAGCTCCACATAGAAACATAAGTAACACAAGCAGCACACTGATACAATTACAGAGACCCCAGAAATGTACCCCTAATAAATGAGCACACCCCAAAGTGATAGGCAAATCTGGTAACAAATGTTTTAACAAGCAAACAGCCCATTTAATTGGTATGAAAAATTCTAGTAAGAAACAGTATGCTGTAGCACATACAGAATGTCACTCTGCATCTCTATTTAACATAGAGGAAAAGAGTAATTTTCTTCCTTAATCCATTTCACTGAAATTTAAAATTTTAAAGTTTAAAAATATAATTTCCTGTATTTAACCAAGTGGTTAAACAATATAAAATCTATTTTATAAGCTTTCTAAATATATTCAAGAACACATGCAACTTTACCTGTGCATCATAAATTCGGTGCATGGCTCGATATAACTGGTTGATGTAACTTGAAATTGCTGCAGCATCTTCTTCAAATACACCAAGCAAGGAACGTGTCTGTAAAAACAGAAAGGATGGCATGTTCATTTGTGGGTTTGTTTTTAAAACCAGATTCAGAAGGGAATGAATGTCCTTGTATTTAAAGGTGAACAGGATGTGTTTCGTGAATTGTATAGTAAAACCAAATAAGACAATGTTCATTTGTAAGGAGAGACAGGAAAAGCTTCAATTAAAAAAAAAAAAAAAAAAAAAAAAAGGTCTTTTTCAACTGAGTACATTTCCAACCGAAAGTTTAGAGTTTCATCTAACCTTACTAAAATTTTGGTATGATTTAAAAATATATCTGCAAGTTTCTTACTTGATATGTGTATCAAAGAGTGAGGTATGCTGAGCCTCACCTGTGTCTGGCTACCCTGCCTCCCAGGTGATAGGACTAAGTCCAGAGATCAGGTGAGAGCCATGTGACTTGTAGGGTCCCAAATATAAGGACAGGCTTGAGCTCAGGCTCTCTAGGAGCCATAGCTAAAAGAGCTGTAGACTCAGGATGAGAGAGAGGGTTTTAAAAAGCCAAAACCCCATGTCTCTACAGAAGACAAATAGTCCATGATGCAGGTTGGAAAAAAAAAAAACCTACAACAAAAGTGAAATTTTAGGTAGAAAGTGGTCTGGAGAGACAGATCACAAACTCTTGCTCAATAAAGAACAACAAACTGCTGCTAAGTAAAGAATCTGCAGACCAAAACCTAGAAAATCAAAAGATTTAGTTTTCCTTATATCACACTCTTTGGAGACAGTAGTGCTAAATCCTACTAAACTTGAATAATACTACTTTGAAATGGGAACAGGCTTCCAACTCTTGCTAGATAGTGAAGGACTTCAACGCCAGATATTCTGATGAGAAGCAATGAAGAACTATGAACTCAGATTCTGTATGCTGAAAGTGAAACTACAAAGCTTAACTGGAGGACTATATCCCAAGAGCCACCCAATGACTGGATCACCAGAAAGAAACCTGAGGTAAAAACTGTATCTGGAAGGTACAGCACTCTAAAATTCCATATGGCTATATCCATACTTTAACTGAATATCTATCAAGCACTGCTACAATTTTAAAAACCAGTTCAAAATAACTTTATAGCAAAATCTTAACATATTCTAAGTAAATTGCTTAAATAATGCAATAATGGCCTGGCTGCTTTGCAAATATTCAGAAAAACAAAGTGTCAGTCAGCTAAGTGTCCCCAAAAAATATACTATTAAAAGTTAACCAGTAGATTTTTAGGCTATTTGACCCTTCTTTGCACATACATATAGATGTTAGGGGGAGACTGGTTCTGGGCATCTGTTTCTCAATCTGGGTTCTACTTCTCTTCAGTAAAGGACTTGACTCTACCCTCTTCATTCCTGTTGTAGCATTTGCACTATCAAATCTCAAATTTGCAATAGTTATTTTATCTTGCATTAGTTGATGCTATAATACATAAAAGCCCAAAAATCCAACAGTCACATCATTCTGAAATGTTAAATGTAAAAAGCAAGCCTAACTTTACAAATACAGCATGCAAAACTGCAGATAAAACATGCTGTGTGTACTTAGATCAGATTTGGTCATGAAATTTACTACAACTATGTGAAAGTTGTGAGCTATTACAAGGATATCTATTTTGCAAACCTGACAAAAATCAGAGACCATGATTTGCTGGTGATCAACACTGAAAATTACCTGGTATAAATATTGAGTATTTATCTAACTTCCACTGAAAACAAAGCTTTAGAGAAAAAAGACAAGTGAGATGATTGACACTTGTTTTTAGCCAAATAAAGCTGGATTAATGGCTTCATAATCCCACTTAATAGTGGAATGAGCCTTATTACCTTAACAGTAAGGTGTCTGATTATACCAACACAACTTGAACATGGAAGCTTATGCCTTATTAACATATTAATGTTTCCTGCCATTACAGAATGAATACTAACAATCTTCATTCTAACAGGGAGTCATATCAGCATCCTAATGACTTAATAGCAAACACTATCAGTCATTTATCTACCTCAAGTTACTGCATGTTTGGATTTCAGGGTTAACCCTTTATCTGCAGCTCGAAAGCATAAGTTTAAAATGCACTGAACAGAGACTTCAAAAACAGTTACTAAAATAACTGCCCTTTAAATCTATTTCACTTATTTATCAAACAGAATGCATGAGCATTTTGGGGTAGCATCCTAAAAACAAGCTCTCTTAAAATAGGTCAAATGGACCAGTGTTGAAAAACATCCTCCGTTTTAACTAATACAAGCATCATCAAACACTGCTTATGCACCTACAGAATCGAGGTGAATGTTTTGTTCCCCTCCAGTCTTTTTCTACATATCAAATACCTTTGTTTTCCTATCTGCCAAACACATTTATTGCACAAGATTAAATGGCTTTCCTACAGCAAGCAGGTTCAAATACAACATGAAATCTGACCCTGCCTTGTTACGATCATGCGCTCAAAACAGGTATTTTTTCAGGATTTCTTCCCAAAAACCATTCTAGAAAAAAATCTATATTTTAATAAGGGGGTGGGGCATGGGTGTAAAGGAAGGAAAACAAGAACACTGTTGCAAATGTACCCATCTACCCTTACCCTCACTCTAAACTTCTAATCTTCGAACTTTTTTTTATTTAAAGATAAGGGGAGTTGCTCTCATTTGTACTACCCTATCTTTCTAGTTGTTTTTCTCTCTATCATTTGTAAAGGAAAATAATTTTACAGCATACTAGCTCAAAAACGAAGTAGTTTTGTCAGTGCACTGCTAACTTAAATGTGCCTTATGCATTTAGGTACATGACATTTGTGGCATGACTCATGTGTTAATCATCCATCACTATAGCATGTCATAAGTTCAGCTAATTTAGATGATAAAATGGCAAACCAGCCACAAAGATATTCTACTTGCAACATTAAAAGTTGCCTTGTATGAATATTGAATATTTATCTAAATAGCTTTCACTTAAAATTCAGCTGTAGAGGGAGAATAGAGAGATGATTTGACACTTTTTCTTTTTTTAAGTGCTACACCTTTTGTGGATGGTTTGTATCCTACTTTAAATTGAATGTGAGCCACATGTCTGACTTGGAGCTTCCATTTGCCTGATCCTCACTCCCAGCTGAGTGTCAGGATCATGCCAGGCAACCCAGGTCCCCTGCCTGATCCCCAGGATCAAACTAGGGGCGGCCCCAGGTCTCCAGCTGGGACCAGGGGCTGCCTATGTCAAGGTCTACACGGGTCTAAAAACTGTGTATGCAACTGGGCTGTAAGTGATGTTTAAAGACTTGAAGTCCAGAGACCCAGCACACTGACTTTTAACCAACTGGGCTCCACACATGCCTTTTTGGGCACAGAGCAGCCCCTGCTCTATCTCAATGCTCAGCTGAGCATCTGAATTGGACACATGCAACCCTGGGGTCCAGGACAAAACCACCCCCTACCTGAACCCTGGGAATGGGCAAGGGATGGTCTCAGCCCCAGGCCCAGGCAGTCACATGACTGGGGTCTGAGGAATTTTATGTCCTGTCCTAAACATTATGTATCCTGCCAGGCACATGTGGGATAGCAAATAAGATTCCTCAGATATCAAAGGCACCATTATTTTAACATCTGCCAGGACCTTACTTGAAGTCCTGAATTACAGATTTAGCAGATACTCATTGACAAATGCCTGTGCTTTCAGAATTCCTACTATGTTGTTCTCCTCTTCAGGTGTAAAGGAACTGTGTATGCATGTTTCATGCTAATACCCAATACACAACCTTTAACAAGACAGCATACTCAAATGTGAGCAAGTAATAAGGAAAAAGCTATTGTAGCACTCATGTACAGCTTGAAAAATGAATCTGGTTGTAAGATGTTTCAGTCTATAAATAACAGCTAGAATTTATAATTATAAGGCTGAAGAGAAAATATTACGACTTGATTGCACTTTGCTCATTATGAGACTGTTATTATGAAAGCAAAGGAGGTAAAAACTTAAATGTATTGAGAGTCTGATTTCCTTTCCAATCACAGACAAAACAAAATGAGATTATAAAGAAATAATAACTACTAAATAAAACTGTGTTCAAATTGCAGTACTAATGTTTGTAATGTTTTAGTTTTAAAATGTAAGAGACTACTGCATCTGGCTTTGGGTGGAGGTGGGGAATTACTCCTTTTTTTCCTCTTAAACATGAAAAATGTTACTAGATTAAGGTATCTGACTGAACAGGGCCTTTATTCCCAATTCCCTATAGAATTTTGGTTATTCTATAGTCCAACAGTTTTCAAAGGCAGACCATAAGTTTGTGGAGAGCATCAAATAAAGAGCTAATGTTACATGTCTAAACAATCATAACACACAGCATACAGTTTTACTCAACTGAGTAACAATCTCATGGTGGTTTTGATATTCTCCATAATACCAATGAGTGGATGGATATAATCCCATCTTGAACGGAAGTTAATGGGTTTTTTCTGTCATGATGAGAGATGACTAATTCTGCAACTGAATAAAAGGAAAGACTGAAATTTAGAACATCAAATATCACCCTTCAGGTTGCGATCTGATGTCCTAAATCAGGAAGGAATTCCCCCCACCTCAGTTTAAGAGAACAAAATGTTTTCCGTCATTTAAAATGAGAGCAGTAACAGACTATGGATTTTCCATCAGAAAGTTATGTACATTAGTATGTGTATGTTAGGCTGTAAATCATCAGAGATTGCCCACTGCTGAATGAAGAATGCCATTCTTGACATAACAACCGAATAGTAATAGTAGTCATCAAAGTAGTAGTAGTAGTAATAATAATAATAATAGTGGGAGGAAATAAAAACCTAAATTCTGCTTCACGATATTGTGTGTTTAATGTTGAAATAATAGAATCAAAATGATAACAGGTTTTTAGAGGTGGGCAGCATCAGAACAGAGCATCAGAGAATGCATGGAATAAACTTACTAGGAAGATGGCATTTTCTACCCTATCCATACACACAAGTTAGAGTGATGCTAGTATGAAGTCAAGCAGAAGGCAGTCTCTAAGATGCCACTTTGCCTTGCCTTCTGCATATGGGTACAGTTTGGGACTGTCTATGTGTATTAAAACGGTTTGGCAAGCAACAGGTCACCAAGACTTTTGGCACATGCCCAAATAGGAGTCTAGAAGTGGAGACTGCCCAGACCTTCCGTCTCCCCTTCAGGCCACAATCCAAAGGCTGGACATATGGTGCCTCCATGGCTGTAGGTGTATAAGTACCCAGGAATTGAACCTGGGTCTCCTGCATATCAAGCAAGGACTGTACCACCGAGGACTCCACATTAAAATGAAGCCATAGCTTTCATTCCCTGTATGGAGAACAGTCGTAGGACATTTGTTCAACAATACTTTGGGAAATATTCTGCTGTTGAGTAGAATAAGAATATACACGATACATAATAAGAAAGCATAAAAGCAGCAAAGAGAAGAAGAGATCAATGCTAGTCATCTTGGGCTGCAGAGTATTTACAGATCTGTATTTCAAACGTGACTTGGGTCTAATCTTAAGCAGTGCACATTAAAACGAAACGTTCTCAGCACGGTGGTGGTCAGCACTCCTCAGTCTTCATTTCTCCTTCTAGCTCCCCCATGAGCAACAGTGTACTGAAGTGCTGTTTAAGTGAAGCTCTAGCGATGGTAGTTCCTTTGAAAACTTCTGCTCCGTAGCCCACACTTCTCTCTGCTTTTGTTCCCAAATAACATAGGGACTCTGTCAGCCTATGTTATTGCTGCACTATGCTATGTTATCAGCACAGCATAGTGATGTGCTGATGTCAGTAGTTTACAGATAGGAAAGGAAAAACCCTAAAGAAATTACTTTAAAAAAAGTCTTGTTTGCCAGCTTTTTAGGTAAGAATTTTAATAGTGGCAGGATCTGGATGGCAACATCCGAGTTCCCTAAGCAATGAGAACCTCCACGTCCTCCTACAAGGGCCACAACAGAGACCCCCCACCCCCAAACTAACACCTGCACGCCTGGGCTACCAAGAGTTTGGGACATTTGCTGTATGACACGAAGGTCGGAATAAAATCAGTGGCCGGAGACTGGCAGCTAAAAAAAAAGGGACAAGGTTGGACTTGTCCAAAAGGCAAGTGGCAAGTGGACATGGGCTGCAGGGGGGAGGCAGGCCCGGGCCAACTCCCATGACAAAGGGCAGTGCTAATGGCAAACACGGCCACCCACCCAAAAAAAGTGAAGCAATGGGTGTGCCCGGGCGCCGCCCTCAGCGCTGGGCCGGCCAGTCGGGTCGCTGCCCTGACACGTGCTTGGCAAGCACGAAATCCGCCCTCCCCCCAGGTCAATCGCGGGGAGGGGGCCGACGCCAGGCGAGGAGCCCCCCGGCCCCGCCCGGAGAGCGGCGGCGGCAACGCGCGGCCTCGCTGCAGGTGGCGCCGGGCACCCCCCGCTTCCCTTCCCCTCAGCAGCGGGGCCTGCGCGGCC